CTTCTCATTCTCATCCTTAACCCCTCCAATATATAACTAATAATATCCATTGTCTCATGCCTCAGCCCTTCTCTCAATCTTTGCCTGTATCTTCTCACTCTCTTCCTTATCCCTTCCAATATAATTAATATTATCCATTGTCTCATGCCTCAGCCCTTCTCTCACATTTTGCCTGTATCTTCTCATTCCTTCCCTTATCTGTTTCAATATAATGAATATTCTACATTATCTCATATCTCAGCCCTTCTCTTTGCCTCTCAGCCACTCTTTGCCTGTATCTTCCTATTCTCTCCCTTATCCTTTCTAGGATTATTCATTATTTCATGTCTTTACTATCTCTTGTTTTTTTTTCTTTATCTTCTCATTCTATCCCTTATCCTTTCCAATATTAAGTTCACCAATTATCTCTTGCCTCTGTTCTTATCGTACCCTTTATCCATATTCTCCTTTTATTATTTGTCTGTATCTTCTCATTCATTCCCTTATCCCTTGTACGATACGTAAGGTTATCCATTATTTTTTTCTACCTTTGCCCTTATCCTACTCTTCGCCTCTATCTTCTCATTCTCTCCCTTATTTTATCCAATACAGATAACATTATACATTATCCATTGCCTCTCTTTCTTCACTCATCTTTAGCCAGTATCTTCCCAGTTTTTTCCTTTTCCCTTTCCATTATTCATTACATAAGACCTGTGCTCTTGTATCATCTAATGCATCCATTTTTGAGTCAGCAATATATGATTTTCAACGGGATTACGATGCCTTCGAGTTTAGTCATAAATAATAATTTTTATATACTAAATTTCACTCACTACAACGTTTGAGAGCCACACAATGTAAAATATCACCGACAAAAATGAGATGCTGAATGAGGTATGTGATATTCATGGAAGGGTGCATAAACCACTGAGTGCCAACATATGATCCCTGAGGAGTGTGAACCAAAATGTGAGGAATTGTGTGTTTGATAGAAGTGTGTGTGTGTGTGTGTGTGTGTGTGTGTGTGTGTCTGTCTGTCTGTCTGTTAACAAAATTCAGTCTCTAAAGGGAAAAATATCCCCATGCTAGGGAAAGAAGTTCCGCAGATGTTACAACAGTAATAACCTAAAAGCAGAGACGGATTTAGATGAACATAGTGAAGCCTTAGGGTATTTCACGTGCAAGGTACTAGACTATTCCACTTGTGAAGCCCTAGGTAATTTCTCTTGCAAGAAACTATTCTATTCCATTTGTGAAGCACTAGGGCGTTCCACTTGCAAGGCCCTAGGCAATTCCACTTGTGAAACACAATGTTATTTCACTAGCAAGTTCCTAGGCTATTCCCCTTCTGATGCCTCAGGCTATTTCACTAGCAAGGCCCTAAGCGATTCCACTTGGTGGAATAGCCTAGGGTCTTGCAAGTGGAATAACCAAGGGCTTTACAAGGGGAATAGCCTAGAGCTTCATGAGTGGAATAGCCTAGGGCATTGCAAGTGCAATAGCCTAGGGACTTGCAAGTGAACGAGCCTAGGTCTTCACGAGTGTAAAAGCCTAGCCTCTTGCAACTGCAATAGCATAGGTCCTTACGAGTGAAATAGCCTACGGCTTCAAAAGTGGAATAACCTAGGGCTTCACAAGTGGAATCGCCAAGGGCCTTGCAAGTGGAATAACCTAGGGACTTGCAACTGCAATAGCATAGGTCCTTACATGTGAAATAACCTAAGGCTTTAGAAGTAGAATCGCATAGAACCTTGCAAGTGGAATAGCCTAGGGATTGCAAGTGAAATGACTAAGCCTTCACGAGTAGAATAGCCTAGGACTTGACAAGTGGAATAGCCTAGCGACTTTCTACAGCATTAGCAAAGGTCCTGGCAAGGGGAATAGCCTAGGGCTTTAGAAGTGGAATAGCCTATCGACTTGCAACTGCAAGAGAAATAGCCTAGGGCTTCACAAGTGGAATAGCCTAGGGTTTCACAAGTGAAATAGCCTTGGAATTCACAAGTGGAATACCCTAGGGAGTCACAAGTGGAATAGCCTAAGGCTTCACAATTGGAATAGCCAAGGGCCTTGCAAGTTCAATAGCCTAGTCTATTGAAAGTGAAATAGCCTAGGGCTTCACAACTGGACTAGCCCAGGGACTTGCAAGTGAAAGAGTCTAAGGCTTCACAAATGAAATAGCCTTGGGATTCAAAAGTGAAATAGCCTAGGGTCTTGCAAGTGGAATAACCAAGGGCTTCACAAGGGGAATAGCCTAGGGCTTCACAAGGGGAATAGCCTAGGGCCTTTCAAATGAAATAGCCTAGGACTTCACAAGTGGAAACGCTTAGGGCCTTCCAAGTGGAAAAGACTAGGGCTTCACAAGTGGAATAGCCAAGGTCCTTACAAGTGAAATAGCCTAGATCTTCAGAAGTGGAATCGCTAGTGAAATATCCTAGGATTTCACAAGTGGAATTGTCAAGGGCCTTACTAGTCGAATAGTCTAGTTCCTTGAAAATGGAATAGCCTACGGCCTTGCAAGTGAATTAGAGCTTCACTAGTGGTTTCACCTAGGGCCTTGCATGTGGATATGCCTAGAGCTTCATAACTGGAATAGCCTAGGTCCTTGCAAGTGAAATATCCTAGAGCTTCAGAAGTGGTACCGTCTAGGGTCTTGTAAATGGAATAGCCTAGAGCTTCACAAGTGAAATAGCCGAGGGCTTCACATGTGGAATAGCCTAGGGTCTTACAAGTGGAATAGCCTAGGGCTTCACTATTGGAATTGCCTAGAGCCTTGCAAGTGGAATAGCCTAGGGCTTCACTAGTGGAATTGCCTAGGGCTATTCAAATGGAATAGTCTAGGGCTTCACAAGTGGAATAGCCTAGGGCCTTACACGTGAAATAACATAAGGCTTCACAAGTGGAATAGCCTAGGGCCTTACACGTGAAATAACATAAGGCTTCACAAGTGGAATAGCCTAGGGCCTTACACGTGAAATAACATAAGGCTTCACAAGTGGAATAGCCTACGGCCTATGTTCATCTAAATCCGTCTCTGCTTCTAGCTTATTATTGTTGAACCATCTGCGGAACTTCTTTCCCTAGCATGGGGATATTTTTCCCTTCAGAGACTGAACATTGTTCACAGACAGACAGACAGACACACACACACACACAGAGAGAGAGAGAGAGAGAGGTCTATTTCATTTGAGTTGGTTCTCGAATAAAAAAGAAAGTAGGATAATGTCCTCTTTTGACCCAGAAAAGACTGGAAATGGCGAGGACTTTCTTCAAATAGGCTACCTACCTATATAAATGGAAAGACTGGTTTGTCTCGCCAGTTCAGTTCACTTGCAGACAATTTCGCTATCACGGAAAAGATCAAAGAACTGACCCTAACTCCCGACGATCAGTCTTTGCACAGTCCTAGCACAGACTCGCCGGTAAAACTTTCATTTCTATCTTTTAATATTTCTGACCAAGACTCCTGTTTTCTTTTACAGACAATATTATCTTTTCTTTTCTTTTTTTTTTCTTCTTTGGTTTGTTTTAATTCTTAAATTTCACCTCGACTGGATCAATTCTTATTGTTTTGAATCTTTAATTGTATTTTTGCTTTTGTAAGTAAATTATTTTTATTCTTATAAAACTCTAGCGTTCATAGTATTTCTTTATACTCCTTTTCTTTCACCTTCTCTCTCTTTTTCTTTATTCTCCTTTTCTTTCACCTTCTCTCTCTTTTTCCTTTTTATCGCAACCCCGAGAAAATAGGGGCTCGTCCTAAGTTTTGATGTTCATTTCAAAACAAAAAAACAACAATTCATCTGTGTTAAGTAAAAAAATAAATCATTTTCTTATTCGATGTTCCTTTCGTAACAACAAAGTAAGAAATCATTCACATTTCTCTTTAGAGAATTTCTTTTGATAAAACTGTTTGCGTTTGTTTAAAAATGTCGTTTTCTCTTGAAGAATTTCTTTCTTCATCCAAAAGACAAAATTCTACAGATAGAAAAAGTAAAGCTGTTTGAATCTAATATCTGACTAGTATTTCTTTCATCTTAATTTCACTTGTATTATTATTATTATTATTATTATCATCATCATCATTAGTAATAGTAATATTGAATTTGTATCAAATGAAGAGAATCCACTTCTCCCCACACCCCCAGCTATGGGTAACTAGTAGGACAGACTAGATTATATAGCCTTGGATGGTAACTGTCCTACCACAGAAAGAAATGGCAACCTACTGCGGGAAGAATCTGCCTCGTCAGTCATATATCGAAAAATAGATGATCACCTAAGCGTGTATCATGCATAGCACATAATTGACTGATCAGATGAAGCATTGTTAACCATTGTTAATTTTTTTTAATGGGATTTCTTTCTTTGTAATTTCACTTAAACATTTATCTTGATTTTCTTAATGTGCTATGTCCCCTCAGTATGTAAGCGATCATGACTCTCCACAACTTCCTGTCCTATACTAGGTATTTGAACTAATTAACCATATAAAGGCGGAAACATAGTTGACTGTGAAAGGGAAAAGTGGGATTGACACCTTCTGTGGAGATGAAGTTGAAATAAGCACTTAAGTTGGCCAAGCATAGACATTAATACAATATTTCAAATCATTTTCTCATTCGATGTTCATTTCAACAATAACAACAAAGAAAGGAATTTATATTTCTCTTTATATATGTTTTTGATAAAATTAACTTTTTATGTTTAAAAATGTCTTTTTCCTGTTGAAGAATTTCTTTCTTCATCCAAACAGGATGAAAAATTTCACTTATTAAAAAGATTCAGAGTCATTGCAACTAGTTACATTGTGGATTCCGCCATATTTGTCTGTCACTTCCTTACAGGAAGATGCATTCTTTCCCAAATTAACCTTTAACCAATCATCACTTCACTTTTCCAAACTCAACTTCCCATTGGTTAAAGGGTCACAAAAATGTAGCAAGTTAAGACAAATCATTTTTCCCACGCAGCTGTCTGGAGCCTATTTGAAAACCCAAAAATCTATAAAAAAAAAAAAAAATTAATTCAAGTCAGTCAGACACTGAGTTTCAAGAGATGCCAGCAGACTCCACGCATGCCAACACACTGACTCAATAACACTACCAACTTCTCATCAACTCAATACAAGTCGCACTACTATTGCCGCGTGAAGAAACTTAACTTACAATTTACTAAAACAGTGACTTTATCACTGCAAAATAGTAATTGCATATTTAATCAACTTTAGCATATCAGTCAAAGGCACACAACTCTGCATAATTTGAATCAACACTTACAATCGTCACACACATACACACTATTATTTGAACTCACACAATTGACGTTTTACCTTGCGGAAATTAAACTGTTTTAATTTCACAAACAAACTTAAACCATCAACATTCATTCACCAAATTTCTGCATGGACACTCTTTGCAATCTTGCCACGTTTAACAAGCAACCTATCATCACTTTGTGTGTGTCAAATATATATATATAAATTCATGTTATTGTTGAAAACTATAACTACGTTGTTTTTCCTTGATTTCTTCGAATTGTATTGTCTTCATAAGTTTGGTTAATTTATTTGTTGTGGATAAATGCATAATGTACACGCACATTTTAGGCCTTCATATAATTCCACCATCTTACGCATCTTACTTAGCATAAATTCTGCAACAGCATATTTTGATTTAAACATTAATACAAATATGAAAAGAGCAACTAACATTAGACCTACTGTAGTAATATTAATAGCAATGACATGATTATTGGATATATTTCTATATTGTATATGAACCCAAGTATAGGGCTATGCATAGATTATTAGTGATTGAACCCGAGATTCAATCACAACTTTGGACACTTGTACGGTAAGCCTGTATGATTATTTAAGATTATAGATTTATGATAGAGTAGTAATTAACAGGCATTGATTGTTTGTGAATATATGAAGGGATAAGATTTTTAATTATGCAAGTTGAGAAAAGTGTTGAATGTAATCTTGTATACGCGTATATATAGATAAGGCTAGAGCAGTGCCAAACACCTCAGCTATGCGTTTAAGCTAGATCTAGGTTTTCTTCGCCAGTTTCGCGATTCAGCACACAGTAGAGAGTTTGTATTAAGAATAAATTCTGTTCGCAAAATTAAAGGAAGGGCATGTTCATTAGGGAAGCAGAATATTTAAATATTTAGCTCTTGTTGCAAGGACACTTTTATAATATAAACCTACATCCAGGAGTGGGACTAAATACTAAATATTTAAGATATATATTTCCAGGGAAATAACCATTTCAGCAGAAATAAATCTTTATGTTTTGAGTTGAGAACAGAAGGAGAGAGCTGCAGAGGAAGGAAATAGGAAACTTTCCAAAATTAACATCGGGACTTACACCAGATGCAATGACAGACACTCCTTCAGATATAGCATTCACATCAGCATCCTCCTCCTGCAATGTCAACCACTAGTACTCTTCCTTCAGATATAGCATCTACATCAGCATCCTCTGCAATGTCAACCACAAGTACTCTTCCTTCAACCTAGCATCTACATCAGCATCCTCCTGCAATGTATCAAACACTAGTCCTCTTCCTTCAGATATAGCATCTACATCAGCATCCACTCCTGCAATGTCAACTACTAGTACTCTTCCTTCCAGATATAGCATCTACATCAGCATCCACTCCTGCAATGTCAACCACTAGTACCTTCCTTCAGATATAGCATCTACATCAGCATCCACTCCTGCAATGTCTACTAGTAATCTTCCTTCAGATATAGCATCTACATCAGCATCCACTCCTGCAATGTCAACCATAGTACTCTTTCCTTCAGATATAGCATCTACATCAGCATCCACTCCTGCAATGTCAACCACTAGTACTCTTCCTTCAGATATATAGCATCTACATCAGCATCCTCCTGCAATGTCAATGGCTTTAGTCCTCTTCCTTCAGATGTAGCATCTACATCAGCATCCCACTTTCCTTCAAGTCAACTACTAGTACTCTTCTTCAGATATAGCATCTACATCAGCATCCACTCTGCAATGTCAACTTCTAGTACTCTTCCCCTTCAGATATAGCATCTACATCAGCATCCCCCTGCAATGTCAACCACTAGTCCTCTTCCTTCAGATATAGCATCTACATCAGCATCCACTCCTGCAATGTCAACTACTAGTACTCTTCCTTCAGATATAGCATCTACATCAGCATCCACTCCTGCAATGTCAACCACTAGTACTCTTCCTTCAGATATAGCATCTACATCCAGCATCCACTCCTGCAATGTCAGCCACTAGTACTCTTCCTTCAGATATATAGCATCTACATCAGCATCCACTCCTGCAATGTCAAACACTAGTCCTTCCTTCAGATATAGCATCTACATCAGCATCCACTCCTGCAATGTCAAACACTAGTCCTCTTCCTTCAGATATAGCATCTACATCAGCATCCACTCCTGCAATGTCAACTACTAGTACTCTTCCTTCAGATATAGCATCTCATCAGCATCCACTCCTGCAATGTCAACTACTAGTACTCTTCCTTCAGATATAGCATCGACATCAGCATCCACTCCTGCAATGTCAAACACTAGTCCTCTTCCTTCAGATATAGCATCTACATCAGCATCCACTCCTGCAATGTCAACTACTAGTACTCTTCCTTCAGATATAGCATCTACATCAGCATCCACTCCTGCAATGTCAACTACTAGTACTCTTCCTTCAGATATAGCATCTACATCAGCATCCACTCCTGCAATGTCAACCACTAGTACTCTTCCATCAGATATAGCATCTACATCAGCATCCACTCCTGCAATGTTCAAACACTAGTCCTCTTCCTTCAGATATAGCATCTACATCAGCATCCACTCCTGCAATGTCAACAACTACTAGTACTCTTCCTTCAGATATAGCATCTCATCATCCACCCTGCAATGTCAACCACTAGTACTCTTCCTTCAGATATAGCATCTACATCAGCATCCCTCCTGCAATGTCAACCACTGTTACTCTTCCTTCAGATATAGCATCTCCATCCACTCCTGCAATGTCAAACACTAGTCCTCTTCCTTCAGATATAGCATCTACATCAGCATCCACTCCTGCAATGTCAACTACTAGTACTCTTCCTTCAGATATAGCATCTACATCAGCATCCACTCCTGCAATGTCAACTACTAGTACTCTTCCCTTCAGATATAGCATCTACATCATCATCCACTCCTGCAATGTCAACCACTAGTACTCTTCCTTCAGATATAGCATCTACATCAGCATCCACTCCTGCAATGTCAACCACTAGTACTCTTCCTTCAGATATAGCATCTACATCAGCATCCACTCCTGCAATGTCAAACACTAGTCCTCTTCCTTCAGATATAGCATCTACATCAGCATCCCACTCCTGCAATGTCAACTACTAGTACTCTTCCTTCAGATATAGCATCAGCATCCCACTCCTGCAATGTCAACTATCCTCTTCCTTCAGATATAGCATCTACAACCATCCACTCCTGCAATGTCAAACCACTAGTACTCTTCCTTCAGATATAGCATCTACATCAGCATCCACTCCTGCAATGTCAACTACTAGTACTCTTCCTTCAGATATAGCATCTACATCAGCATCCACTCCTGCAATGTCAACCACTAGTACTCTTCCTTCAGATATAGCATCTACATCAGCATCCACTCCTGCAATGTCACCACTAGTACTCTTCCTTCAGATATAGCATCTACATCAGCATCCACTCCTGCAATGTCAACTACTAGTACTCTTCCTTCAGATATAGCATCTACATCAGCATCCACTCCTGCAATGTCAACTTAACTGGTACTCTTCCTTCAGATATAGCATCTACATCACCATCACTCCTGCAATGTCAACACTAGTCCTCTTCCTTCAGATATAGCATCTCACATAGCATCCACTCCTGCAATGTCAACTACTAGTCCTCTTCCTTCAGATATAGCATCTACATCAGCATCCCTCCCTGCAATGTCAACTACTAGTACTCTTCCTTCAGATATAGCATCTACATCAGCATCCACTCCTGCAATGTCAACCACTAGTACTCTTCCTTCAGATATAGCATCTACATCAGCATCCACTCCTGCAATGTCAACCACTAGTACTCTTCCTTCAGATATAGCATCATCACATCCAGCATCCGCTCCTGCAATGTCAACATCAGCACTATGTACTCTTCCTTCAGATATAGCATCTACATCAGCATCCACTCCTGCAATGTCAAACACTAGTCCTCTTCCTTCAGATATAGCATCTACATCAGCATCCACTCCTGCAATGTCAAACACTAGTACTCTTCCTTCAGATATAGCATCTACATCATCAGCATCCACTCCTGCAATGTCAACTACTAGTACTCTTCCTTCAGATATAGCATCTACATCAGCATCCACTCCTGCAATGTCAACCACTAGTACTCTTCCTTCAGATCTAGCATCTACATCAGCATCCACTCCCTGCAATGTCAACCACTAACAGTACTCTTCCTTCAGATATAGCATCTCAAACATCAGCATCCACTCCCTGCAATGTCAACCACTAGTACTCTTCCCTTCAGATATAGCATCTACATCAGCATCCACTCCTGCAATGTCAACCACTAGTACTCTTCCTTCAGATATAGCATCTACATCAGCATCCCTCCTGCAATGTCAAACACTCAGTCCTCTTCCTTCAGATATAGCATCTACATCAGCATCCACTCCTGCAATGTCAACCACTAGTACTCTTCCTTCAGATATAGCATCTACATCAGCATCCACTCCTGCAATGTCAACCACTAGTCCTCTTCCTTCAGATCTAGCATCTACATCAGCATCTCCTGCAATGTCAGCCACTAGTACTCTTCCTTAGATATAGCATCTACATCAGCATCCACTCCTGCAATGTCAACCACTAGTCCTCTTCCTTCAGATATAGCATCTACATCAGCATCCACTCCTGCAAATGTCAGCCACTAGTCCTCTTCCCTTCAGATATAGCATCTACATCAGCATCCCTCCTGCAATGTCAACCACTAGTACTCTTCCTTCAGATATAGCATCCACATCAGCATCCACTCCTGCAATGTCAGCCACCAGTCCTCTCTTCAGATATAGCATCTACATCAGCATCCACTCCTGCAATGTCAACCACTAGTCCTCTTCCTTCAGATATAGCATCCACATCAGCATCACTCCTGCAATGTCCACCCTAGTCCTCTTCCTTCAGATATAGCATCTACATCAACATCCACTCCTGCAATGTCAACCACTAGTCCTCTTCCTTCAGATATAGCATCTACATCAGCATCCACTCCTGCAATGTCAACCACTAGTACTCTTCCTTCAGATATAGCATCTACATCAGCATCCACTCCTGCAATGTCGGCCACTGGTACTCTTCCTTCAGATATAGCATCTACATCAGCATCCACTCCTGCAATGTCAACCACTAGTACTCTTCCTTCCATCTACATCGGCATCCACTCCTGCAATGTCAACTACTAGTACTCTTCCTTCAGATATAGCATCTACATCAGCATCCTCCTGCAATGTCAACCACTAGTACTCTTCCTTCAGATATAGCATCTACATCCAGCATCCACTCCTGCAATGTCAACTAGTACTACTTCCTTCAGATATAGCATCTACATCAGCATCCACTCCTGCAATGTCAACCCGCTAGTACTCTTCCTTCCAGATCCACATCTACATCCAGCATCCCACTCCTGCAATGTCAAACACTAGTCCTCTTCCTTCAGATATAGCATCTACACTGGCATCCACTCCTGCAATGTCAACCACTAGTACTCTTCCTTCAGATATAGCATCTACATCACATCCCTCCTGCAATGTCAAACACCAGTCTCTTCCTTCAGATATAGCATCTCATCAGCATCCACTCCCCTGCAAATATCCACTAGTACTCTTCCTTCAGATATAGCATCTACATCAGCATCCACTCTGCAATGTCAACCACTAGTCCTCTTCCTTCAGATATAGCATCTACATCAGCATCCACTCCTGCAATGTCAACTACTAGTACTCTTCCTTCAGATATAGCATCTACATCAGCATCCACTCCTGCAATGTCAACCACTAGTCCCTCTTCCTTGAATACTAGCCTCTACATCAGCATCCACTCCTGCAATGTCAACCACTAGTACTTCTCTCAGATATAGCATCTACATCAACATCCAATCCTGCAATGTCAACCACTCACAGTACTCTTCCTTCAGATATAGCATCTAGCATCAGCATCCACTCCCTGCAATGTCAGCCACTAGTCCTCTTCCTTCAGATATAGCATCATCAGCATCCATCCCTGCAATGTCAACCACTAGTCCTCTTCCTTCAGATCTAGCATCTACATCAGCATCCTCTGCAAATGTCAGTTACTAGTCCTCTTTCCTTCAGATATAGCATCTACATCAGCATCCACTCCTGCAATGTCAACCACCAGTCTCTTCCTTCAGATCTAGCATCTACATCAGCATCCACTCCCGCAATGTCAGCCACTAGTCCTCTTCCTTCAGATATAGCATCACATCAGCATCCACTCCTGCAATGTCAACCATAGTCCTGCTCCTTCAGATATAGCATCTACATCAGCATCCACGCAATGCAATGTCATACTCCTCCTCTTCAGATAGAGCATCCACATCAGCATCCACTCCTGCAATGTCAGCCACTGGTCCTCTCCTTCAGATATAGCATCCACATCCAGCATCCACTCCTGCAATGTTCCCTTCCTTCAGATCCATCTACATCAGCATCCACCCTGCCTTCAGACCAGTCCTCTTCCTTCGATTCAGCATCATCAGCATCCCTCCTGCAAATGTCAGCCACTAGTCCTCTTCCTTCAGATATAACATTTACATCAGCATCCACTCCTGCAATGTCAGCCACTAGTCCTTTCCTTCAGATATAGCATCTACAGCATCCACTCCTGCAATGTCAGCCCACTAGTCCTCTTCCTTCAGATCCTAGCATCACATCAGCATCCACTCCTGCAATGTCAGCCACTAGTCCCCTCTTCCTTCCAGATCTAGCATCTACATCAGCATCCCACATCCTGCAATGTCAGCCATTACAGATATAAAGTCTCTTCCTTCAAATATAGCATCTACATCAGCATCCACTCCTGCAATGTCAACCACTAGTCCTCTTCCTTCAGATATAGCATCTACATCAGCATCCACTCCTGCAATGTCAGCCCATCAGTCCTCTTCCTTCAGATATAGCATCTACATCAGCATCCCTCCCTGCAATGTCAACCACTAGTCCTCTTCCTTCAGATATAGCATTCACATCAGCATCCACCCCTGCAATGTCAACCACTAGTCCTCTTCCTTCAGATATATATTCACATCAGCATCCACTCCTGCAATGTCAACCACTAGTCCTCTTTTCTTCAGATATAGCATCTACATCAGCATCCCTCCTGCAATGTCAACCACTAGTACTCTTCCTTCAGATATAGCATCTACATCAGCATCCTCCTGCAAATGTCAAACACTAGTCCTCTTCTTTCAGATATAGCATCTACATCAGCATCCACTCCTGCAATGTCAACTACTGCAATGGTACTCTTCCTTCAGATATAGCATCTACATCAGCATCCACTCCTGCAATGTCAACTACTAGTACTCTTCCTTCAGATATAGCATCTACATCAGCATCCACTCCTGCAATGTCAAACTAGTACTCTTCCTTCAGATATAGCATCTACATCAGCATCCACTCCTGCAATGTCAACCACTAGTACTCTTTCCTTCAGATATAGCATCTCAGCATCCTCCTGCAATGTCAACTGGTCCCTTCCTTCCAGATATAGCATCTACATCAGCATCCACTCCTGCAATGTCAACCACTCTTCCTTCAGATATAGCATCCACATCAGCATCCACTCCTGCAATGTCAGCCACTAGTCCTCTTCCTTCAGATATAGCATCTACATCAGCATCCACTCCTGCAATGTCAACTACTAGTACTCTTCCTTCAGATATAGCATCTACATCAGCATCCACTCCTGCAATGTCAAACCACTAGTCCTCTTCCTTCAGATATAGCATCTACATCAGCATCCCTCCTGCAATGTCAACCACTAGTCCTCTTCCTTCAGATATAGCATCTACATCACTCCTGCAAATCCACTTCCTGCAATGTCAAGCTACTAGTACTCTTCCTTCAGATATAGCATCTACATCAGCATCCACTCCTGCAATGTCAACTACTAGTACTCTTCCTTCAGATATAGCATCTACATCAGCATCCACTCCTGCAATGTCAACCACTAGTACTCTTCCTTCAGATATAGCATCTACATCAGCATCCACTCCTGCAATGTCAAACACTAGTCCTCTTCCTTCCAGATATAGCATCTACATCAGCATCCACTCCTGCAATGTCAACCACTAGTACTCTTCCTTCAGATATAGCATCTACATCAGCATCCACTCCTGCAATGTCAACCACTAGTACTCTTCCTTCAGATATAGCATCTACATCAGCATCCACTCCTGCAATGTCAACCACTAGTACTCTTCCTTCAGATATAGCATCTACATCAGCATCCACCCTGCAATGTCAAACACTAGTCCTCTTCCTTCAGATATAGCATTCACATCAGCATCCACTCCTGCAATGTCAAACACTAGTACTCTTCCTTCAGATATAGCATCTACATCAGCATCCACTCCTGCAATGTCAACCACTAGTACTCTTCCTTCAGATATAGCATCTACATCAGCATCCACTCCTGCAATGTCAACCACTAGTCCTCTTCCTTCAGATATAGCATCTACATCAGCATCCACTCCTGCAATGTCAAACACTAGTCCTCTTCCTTCAGATATAGCATCTACATCAGCATCCACTCCTGCAATGTCAACCACTAGTACTCTTCCTTCAGATATAGCATCTACATCAGCATCCACTCCTGCAATGTCAACCACTAGTACTCTTCCTTCAGATATAGCATCTACATCAGCATCCACTCCTGCAATGTCAACCACTAGTCCTCTTCCTTCAGATATAGCATCTACATCAGCATCCCTCCTGCAATGTCAACTACTAGTCCTCTTCCTTCAGATATAGCATCTACATCAGCATCCACTCCTGCAATGTCAACTACTAGTACTCTTCCTTCAGATATAGCATCTACATCAGCATCCACTCCTGCAATGTCAACCACTAGTACTCTTCCTTCAGATATAGCATCTACATCAGCATCCACTCCTGCAATGTCAAACACTAGTCCTCTTCCTTCAGATATAGCATCTACATCAGCATCCACTCCTGCAATGTCAACTACTAGTACTCTTCCTTCAGATATAGCATCTACATCAGCATCCACACCCCTGCAATGTCAACCACTAGTACTCTTCCTTCAGATATAGCATCTACATCAGCATCCACTCCTGCAATGTCAACCACTAGTACTCTTCCTTCAGATATAGCATCTACATCAGCATCCACTCCTGCAATGTCAGATATAACCACTAGTACTCTTCCTTCAGATATAGCATCTACATCAGCATCCACTCCTGCAATGTCAATCCACTAGTCCTCTTCCTTCAGATATAGCATCTACATCAGCATCCACCTGCAATGTCCACTAGTACTCTTCCCTTCAGATATAGCATCTACATCAGCATCCACCCCTGCAATGTCAACCACTAGTACTCTTCCTTCAGATAACGCACATCTACATCAGCATCCACTCCTGCAATGTCAACCACTAGTACTCTTCCTTCAGATATAGCATCTACATCAGCATCCACTCCTGCAATGTCAACCACTAGTACTCTTCCTTCAGATATAGCATCTACATCAGCATCCACTCCTGCAATGTCAACCACTAGTACTCTTCCTTCAGATATAGCATCTACATCAGCATCCACTCCTGCAATGTCAACCACTAGTCCTCTTCCTTCAGATATAGCATCTACATCAGCATCCACTCCTGCAATGTCAACCACTAGTACTCTTCCTTCAGATATAGCATACATCAGCATCCATCCTGCAATGTCAACCACACTCTTCTTCCCTGCATCCACTGTCAATGTCAAACACTAGTCCTCTTCCTTCAGATATAGCATCTACATCAGCATCCACTCCTGCAATGTCAACCACTAGTACTCTTCCTTCAGATATAGCATCTACATCAGCATCCACTCCTGCAATGTCCCACTAGTCCTCTTCCTTCAGATATAGCATCTACATCAGTCAACCACATCCTTCTCCTGCAATGTCAGCCACTAGTCCTCTTCCTTCAGATATAGCATCTACATCAGCATCCACTCCTGCAATGTCAACCACTAGTCCTCTTCCTTCAGATATAGCATCTACATCAGCATCCACTCCTGCAATGTCAACCACTAGTCCTCTTCCTTCAGATATAGCATCACATCAGCATCCAATCCTGCAATGTCAAATGTCAGTACTCTTCCTTCAGATATAGCATCTACATCAGCATCCACTTCCTGCAATGTCAACCACTAGTCCTCTTCCTTCAGATATAGCATCTACATCAGCATCCACTCCTGCAATGTCAACCACTAGTCCTCTTCCTTCAGATATAGCATCTACATCAGCATCCCACTCCTGCAATGTCAGCATCTACACAGTCCTCTTCCTTCAGATATAGCATCTACATCAGCATCCACTCCTGCAATGTCAACCACTAGTCCCTTCCTTCAGATATAGCATCTACATCAGCATCCACTCCTGCAATGTCAACCACTAGTCCTCTTCCTTCAGATATAGCATCTACATCAGCATCCACTCCTGCAATGTCAACCACTAGTCCTCTTCCTTCAGATATAGCATCTACATCAGCATCCACTCCTGCAATGTCAGCCACTAGTCCTCTTCCTTCAGATATAGCATCTACATCAGCATCCACTCCTGCAATGTCAACCACTAGTCCTCTTCCTTCAGATATAGCATCTACATCAGCATCCCACCTGCAATGTCAATCCCCCTGCAATGTCAAATACTGGTCTTCTTCCTTCAGATATAGCATCTACATCAGCATCCACTCCTGCAATGTCAACCACTAGTCCTCTTCCTTCAGATATAGCATCTACATCAGCATCCACTCCTGCAATGTCAGCCACTAGTCCTAGTCCTCTTCCTTCAGATCTAGCATCTACATCAGCATCCACTCCTGCAATGTCAGCCACCTAGTACTCTTCCTTCAGATATAGCATCTACATCAGCATCCACTCCTGCAATGTCAACCACTAGTACTCTTCCTTCAGATATAGCATCCACATCAGATTCCACTCCTGTAATGTCAACCACTAGTACTCTTCCTTCAGATATAGCATCCACATCAGATTCCACTCCTGCAATGTCAACCACAGTCCTTCCTTCCAGATATAGCATCTACATCACCACTCTGCAATGTCAGTCCTAGTCTTCCTTCAGATATAGCATCTACACATCAGCATCCCTCCTGCAATGTCAGCCACTAGTCCTCTTCCTTCAGATATAGCATCCACATCAGCATCCACTCCCAATGTCAACCACTAGTCCTCTTCCTTCAGATATAGCATCTACATCAGCATCCACTCCCTGCAATGTCAACCACTAGTCCTCTTCCTTCAGATATAGCATCTACATCAGCATCCACTCCTGCAATGTCAACCACTAGTCCTCTTCCTTCAGATATACATCATCCACTCCTGCAATGTCAGCCACTAGTCTTCTTCCTTCAGATATAGCATACATCAGCATCCACTCCTGCAATGTACCACTAGTCCTCTTCCTTCAGATATATCTTACATCAGCATCCCTGCAATCTACATAGTCCATCCCTTCCAGATATAGCAATGTCAGCACCTCCTGCAATGTCCTCCTCTTCCTTCAGATATAGCATCTACATCAGCATCCACTCCTGCAATGTCAACCACTAGTACTCTTCCTTCAGATATAGCATCTACATCAGCATCCACCCTGCAATGTCAACCACTAGTACTCTTCCTTCAGATATAGCATCTACATCAGCATCCACTCCTGCAATGTCAACCACTAGTCCCTCTTCCTTCAGATATAGCATCTACATCAGCATCCAATCCTGCAATGTCAGCCACTAGTCCTCTTCCTTCAGATATAGCATCTACATCAGCATCCACTCCTGCAATGTCAACCACTAGTCCTCTTCCTTCAGATCTAGCATCTACATCAGCATCCAGTCCTGCAATGTCAGCCACTAGTACTCTTCCTTCAGATATAGAATTCACATCAGCATCCACTCCTGCAATGTCAACCACTAGTACTCTTCCTTCAGATATAGCATCTACATCAGCATCCACTCCTGCAATGTCAGCCACTAGTACTCTTCCTTCAGATATAGCATTCACATCAGCATCCACTCCTGCAATGTCAACCACTAGTACTCTTCCTTCGGATATAGCATTCACATCAGCATCCACTCCTGCAATGTCAGCCACTAGTCCTCTTCCTTCAGATATAGCATTCACATCAGCATCCACTCCTGCAATGTCAGCCACTAGTCCTCTTCCTTCAGATATAGCATCTACATCAGCATCCACTCCTGCAATGTCAGCCACTAGTCCTCTTCCTTCGGATATAGCATCTACATCAGCATCCACTCCTGCAATGTCAGCCACTAGTACTCTTCCTTCGGATATAGCATCTACATCAGCATCCACTCCTGCAATGTCAGCCACTAGTACTCTTCCTTCGGATATAGCATCTACATCAGCATCCACTCCTGCAATGTCAGCCACTAGTACTCTTCCTTCGGATATAGCATCTACATCAGCATCCATTCCTGCAATATTAGCCACTAGTACTCTTCCCCTCAGATATAGCATCTACATCAGCATCCACTCCTGCAATGTCAGCCACTAGTACTCTTCCTTCGGATATAGCATCCACATCAGCATCCACTCCTGCAATGTCAGCTACCAGTACTCTTCCTTCGGATATAGCATCTACATCAGCATCCACTCCTGCAATGTCAGCCACTAGTACTCTTCCTTCGGATATAGCATCTACATCAGCATCCATTCCTGCAATATTAGCCACTAGTACTCTTCCTTCAGATATAGCATCTACATCAGCATCCACTCCTGCAATGTCAGCCACTAGTACTCTTCCTTCAGAACGTGAGCATCTCAAGCACTACATTGATCTTGATGAAAATTGTGAGACTCTCTGCACTGTACAGAAAATTAATTTTGGTCAATTTGAATTTTGAAATGGAGTGTTCGTGTGCATGATGGCGACCAACTGTACAAGAGAAAGTTCTTTTTCAAGACTGAAACTTATACAAAATATCTGCTTCGTCGTACAATGGGGCAGCATCGTTTGAAGTGGCTTTCACTCATATACACGGAAAATGAAATCCTATTCGTGAAGACCATTGATTTCAAGGCAATAATAAAGCAACTCTCTAAAAAGAAATGCCACAAATGTTCGTTATAATAAGAAGTTCACAGTAATTTCAGACTTTACCATTTAATCTGTGTGGCTTACTGAGTATTATTGCAATTTTCAAAACTTGTGTATTGTTTAAATGTTTATCATGTTGCTTAGTTGCTGTTGTACAGCATGTTTTTAATGTTTTAACACCAGTTTTGTTGAAGCACCAATAAAATAATACTTAATATTATTGACCATTTACTTTTTATTCCTGTGAATGGTTGTCATAGAGGACACAGCTCATTGGTTTGCCAAGGAGACCCTTAATGCTGTTGAGACGGCCCTGCCTCTAATGACTTCTTGGCAAACCTGGCTAAGCTGCGTGGTGCTAACCCATAAATATTTTACTTTTTTTCTCAATGTAATTACGCCATACACTGGTGCAAAAATATTAGCACAGACCGAAAAATTTATTCGCTACAGAAAAAATTAGGTACCACAAAGATGGATACTTTTTCAGCAATGAAAGCAAAAAACACTTTTAACTAAAATACACACACACACGGGTAGACAAAAATGTATAATTTTAATTTATAATTTAACATACTTTTAGTGTTATTTTTGTGTATGTTTTTATTCCTGTAAATACGAGGCTATCCCCGGCCGGTATGATGTGAGTGACCCCCACAATATTCATTCTTTTGTCTTCCGGAAAAAGTGGGCTGTGAACTTTTACGCACAACTAATACAATCAGTGTATATGTTAAGTAGTGTGGGAAATTTAGCGACCCCCAATATTGAGTCGTGGCTGATGAATAAAGATGCGACATTTGAACAGTTTAAAAAACATACTTTAAATAAGAAATACATTATACAACGAGAAAGAGAATACAGAATTGCTAAAACGTATTCCTTTAACATCAGGGATGAAATCCAAATACATGTGTCTGTTTGAAATTGATTGAAACACTTATACGATGTTGCTCTTATTCTTCTTCTGGGTACATCTTGTCAGGTTATTCAGGTTTGCTCTTGGCCAGCTAAAACACGCCTGATTTATTCATGGTCTTCGGGCCTCTTCCTTTTGGCGCCTAAATTCCAGCTGGCGTCTAATTTTGGGTCTTAACCATTATTTTCCAGACCAATCTTTCTATCAGCAGGTGTTATAAATCAAAGGGAGATAACCTGTATTTTTATAATACATTTTATAGTAAATTATATTCTTTATTGTAGTTTATTAACTATTTCCCTCGCTTCTTATGTCATGTGAGCGTTCAGTTCTGCAAGTCTTCTTTTACTATTATGTGTCTCAAAAATTTAAGATGGTGCTTGAACTCATTAAAAATAATAACAAGCCTAAATTCATTAGATTCATAGACTCTCTGTCACATCTTGTATCTCTAAAAGAAGGAGTATTTAACCATGTATTTATCTTAGACATATTATAAAAAAAAATAAAGATATTCTGTTTCTTCTGTTCTATTTGTTTGCTTCTCAATTATTTTAATATATTTCCAGAAAGTTCTGTCTGGTGAGAAATTGGCATCAATTTTCTTAGAATTCAGGTCAGCAGCTTTTCAGATGAACTTACAAAATGGATCATAGCTGGAATTTGTATTTCTTCTTTTAAAGTACTACAATACTTACAGTACTAGATTAGTAGCTAGGTTTCATCCTTTTACTATTGAAATTGCTAGTTGTAACTGTAAGTTCTATGCTAACAGTTTCTTTTCTCACACTTCTCACCTGTGGAACTCTCTTCCAGCTTCTTGCTTTCCTGTCAACTACAATCTTCAAACATTTAAATGCAATGTCAGTCATCATCATTTGTCTCCTTGAATCCTGTTCTTTTATTGTCTTCTCTGTTTCTTTCCCTCTCAGTGGGCCCCCCCACCACCACCACCACAAACACACACACACACCTTGCATCTTTTATTGCCTTGCTTGTGGGTGAAATGACTTTTAAAAGATCTGCTTTTATAGTATGGAACAGCAGTAGTTTGAGGAATAAATCTAAATATATATTTTTTACAATGATTCTTAGTTATTTTAAATGACGGTGGAATAACTTTACAATTAAGTAAGCAACACCATCTAAATTCTGTGGTATCATAGGTTTTAAAAGTTGCCAAGTAATACTAGTTAATTTTGTATTTTTTCCCACTCCCTGGAGCTTATAGGACCCCCCCCAACACACACACACTTATTTATATTGTAAAATTGCCAAGAATTCATGGAAATATTTTTGATTTTGTTAAAGCATTTTGCTTAAAGACATTGCTGAAAATTTATTTATTTAGTTTTACTTCTTTAAGGTTTTGTTATAGTTTGAAACACCTGTTTTTAATCAACTGCTCCATTTATTGAATCTCCCCATTTATTAAATTATTCCACCCACAATTTATTAACACCCTCTTGTTCATTACATTTTCTGTTATTTACATTAACACCCCCCCCCAATTTCTTTGGAGTCTAATAGAAAATGGATTGCTTCAGGGTTTACAGTCTATGATAGTCAACCAAAACATTACCTCACCTTCCCACTTTTGGCTTCTTTCACGAATGATACGTCTTACCCAGCCATCAAGTCCATCTGATGTAGCTCTACATTCATCATTAAAAATTACTATTGAGAAATCAAGTTATTCATCCAACTTAAACATTTCAGTTTGTGATGTTGATAGTTAAAGTTGATAGGTAATAGTTTGGTTGCTTTTAGGTTTTTAGCCAAAATGTTTTTAAGATTCTGCATCTTTTTACTTCTTAAATTGGTAAAACCAGTTTCTTGAAATATTTTCTTGCTGGTCAATCTGCTGATGACATTTCTGCTCCTCAAATCACTTTTTCTATCATGAAAGCGGTTGGTTATTTTATCTTGCCAATGTTTTTCATTGATCAGTGATCTCAGCCCACACTTCAGCGTTTTGCTATCTTTAATGCATTCCAACACTCAACATTATATCTTGTTTCTAGTTTGAAATCATATCTCATGATCAATAATGAAATATCTGTAATTAAAAAAATATCAATGTGTTTAACAATTGCTATATTTACAGGGGAAGAGTGTAGGAATATTATTATTATTATAAATAAATAAAAAATAAAATTTAAAATAATAATAATAATAATAATGAAATTTAAAATTAAAATGAAATAAAACAATGATATTTAAAATATTGTATAAAATAATTAAAATAAAAATTAGAAATAATAAAAATACTCCCAGCATGCAACAAAAACTGTTCCTGCTGAAAATACAGACATCCTGCCAAAAGATGATAAATTCAATCTCTTCACCACAAACACTGATACAGGCAATACATGTCCAACTTCTATCTGTGATATTGCATGTAATACTAGAGTAAATTTCTCCCTTTTATAACATGTACCATAAAACGCAACATAAAAAATATATACACCAGTACACACACAAAAATATAAATAAATTGTAGTAAATTAACATACAATTTACTATGCTTTTCCTGTTATTTCTGTATGTTTTATTTCCTGTCAAGTATGCTTTTATCTCCATGAACACAAAGCTAATTTCTGCGGTTATGATATGAGTGAATCAAAGGCAACTGATATCAGATGAAAAATGGTTGAAATCCAAACGTCAGCAGTCTCCAATTGATGTGTCAATTTGGGATAATGGTGGATTAGTAGATAGTGGCTCGGATTGACGAATCGGAGAGCCAATTTCAAATTCCAGTCAAATCCATTACATTCACTTACGTGCTAATACCCTTGGGCAAAAGGTATTAAACATCTTCTTTCCCCCAACCCAGCTATGGGTAAATAGCAGGACAGATTGGGTCCTATATCCTTGGATGGCAACTGGTCTGCCACAGAAAGAAATGACAGCCTACTGTGGGAAAAAAATCTGCCTCATCAAGTCATGTATCAAAAGATACATGATCGCCTAAACGTGTATCACACATGGCACATAACTGACTCAATCACACAAAATAAATACCATGCAGTCATATATAAGTAAGTTTTATTATACAAAAAGAAAATTATTATTTTTGCCAGATAATTTTTTTGTAATTATAATATATTTAATTAATATTATAATAATTTATATTAATAAAAAGAAAACCATGTATAAATGCTTGATACTCACTTTTCCGTCTGAACATTGCCAATGACGTCACATTTAACACATAAATTCTAATTCTAGCAAATTTAAAATTTAGTCAGATACATTTTTCTTAACATGCTCATCACTCACAATTCTTGACTATAAGTGAAACAATTGAAAGGGCATCAATAAAATTACCTAATATAAAACACCAGTTAGAAGACAATATAAAAAGTTGAATACACAGAGCTTCTCAGTGTTATTTAATAAAACATGTTTGGATGAATTTCTGCTGTGTAAATACGCTTTTTATACTTATATATATATATATATATATATATATGTGTGTGTGTGTGTATATGTGTGTGTGTGTGTATTATAATTACTTTTTGAAAAAATATGA